CGTTTTAAAGATAGCCGCATAGAAATACCTAACGCAATCAAAATATCTCAATAAAACGTAAACCAAACAGAAACAAAGACCAACGACGCGCGGCACGGATCAAGTTTCGTGACCTTTTACGCTATAACACGCAGTTCGGTTAAGTCGTTGATTAACTGGCCGTTGTGGAGAGGTTATCTTTGTAGTTTGGGACGCGTTTTAGTGGCCGTTGCCGTTGTGGAGAGGTGGCTGTTGTAGAGAGGTTAAAATAAGAGTGAATGTATGGACCGTCCGCCGGGGCGAAAAAAAGTGGCTGTTGTAGAGAGATGGCTGCTATAGGGAGGTAGGGATGTAATATGACATCACCGTTAATGGAGGTTTGACTGTAGTAGCGACTTATACCTACAGCACATGATAAAACAGGACGCCGCTTAACACAAGCAACGCGACGGGAGACCGACGCGATGTTATATAAGAGTTCAGTTTGTACGGCGCTCTGTAGGAGTTTGTAGTATATAAAATATCGAATTATTCTCGCACTTTGATCGGTTCTTGCTAATGATCTATAGGAGGACAGACGAATAGATATGTTCAGTAATGGATCAAAGATGACGTCAACATGTGGTAAGAACAAAAGGTAACACACGAGTCGTTAGGTGAATGTGTCACTGATGTTCTTACCACATTTTGACATCTTGTGATCTATTTAACAATTAGACCCGTAGCCAGCAAGGGCTACGGGTCAATAGCCCATTCGGCTTCGCCTCATGGGCTATTGACCCGTGGTCTTTGAGGGCGAAGGGTCTAATTGTTTTAGTGTCATCCAACTAGTCGGACAGAAAAGGCAATATTAAAGTTAGCAAATGCAAATTGAAGAAATATTGATTTGGGAATAAACGAAGGAAAGCGTCACACTCGATTGCGCCAATAGTCCCCTAGTAGCGTAGCCAATTAAAATGCAGGATTTGCATTAGTCCACTAATTGGGTGATACTAAAACAGAATATATAGTGAGTAGCGTAGCCAATCAGAGAACGGCATTCGTGATAGAACCCAAGTGGATTTATACTAATACTGAACAGACGCACGGCAACAGGGCATCTATCTGTTTTATATTAAAGAATCTGCTAATAACGTCATCTAAACGTCTGTCCTCCAATAGATCATAAGTAAGAACCAAAAATGCAAGAAAAATTTGACTTATTATATAACATGTAAACACCTTTTATTTGTATTGTTTAGTAGGGCAACTGTATTGTAATGAGTGTAAGTGTAGGTTAATGTAATTCTATCATTGTAAGTAGTTTCTTTTTTTTTGGTCTGTTTAGTGTATCTTTGTATGTTGTTACCACTCCAAGTAAAATAATAAAATATATATATAACGTGTTTTTCATTTACCTGTGTCTGTTCAATGTCATGTTTGTCCATAGTTTTCGCCCCTGACAAGCAGGATTCCATATCATAAAGCCAAACAGATCCTGCATCGTCCCCAGCCAACAACACCGAGCAAGCTGACAAAAAGACGTTCAATAAAACTCAGGTCAAAAATGGAAGTGAAAAACAATTGTTAATCATTCTTGTTGAGGTTGCATACAAATCTCTAACAGGTTCGCTGGGCTCACTCACGAGAGATACCATCAAATTAGCATAGTTCAGTGTCACATATATCAAGGTCACATTTCAGTCATTATAACAGTGAGTAAAGCCTGGTGNAACTTCGCGGGGGTGGTACTCTGTAAATCTTTGGGTGCGGGTGTTTTGCTGGGACCCTGAAACCCTTAGCCTGTACTAGACCATGATCAGCTTCATAATAAATTATTCTGCAACCCTATTCTAGACAACCCACCAAAAACCCCAACCCTATCCCAAACTAGCTAACTTCCATGCAGAACCTTTATCACTATCATAGTCCAACAAATGCTAACTAAACCAATATCGTACAAAGTCATTTCCCAGTTTCAATTTCTATTATGGAAACCCGGTAAAGAGCCCCGTTCTAAACTAAATTATTCATACACTTGCCACTTCTCTGGTAAATTACACCCTACTCTAGACCAAAACTGTCTGATTTCTATTCCCCTTCCCAGACTAAACTGCCTGAAAACAATACTCACGCACCAGGCACATAGTGGAATTTCAAGAAAGGTACTTCTGTTTGTCTCCATGGCATCTTGTATGCCACTCTGAAATCATTCTGAAACACAATCAAAAACTTAGCGTCAACACTGGCATGGCTAATTCATTTCCATTTTAGGAGAGTGTTATTCATTCTCCAGCCTAAAAAGCAAAATTGTGGGCGAGAGAATCTAATGTAAGTTGCTTCTTCAAATCCTGTTTTCTTTTCATCTTGCTTTGTTTACAAGCAATGCATGCTTTAATATCGTCCAACAGAATAAGACTTGGCAGCAAATAAATTCTACCACACCACATCATGCCATCTATTCTGACAAGTTCTCTAATCTTTCATTCTCAATTACAAACAAAACTATAAATTGACAACTTTTATTTTCTGAAAACCTCACGCCAAATGTTAACAGAACTTGCAGAAACAACTGACGTAATCAGGGACAAAATAACTACTTTTCGTAGAAAAAAAATAATAAGCAACCAGATTCACTGCACACACCTGTATCATTTCAGACTCAGAGTACCAAACATGTATGCATCCTTCTTCAACTCTCTTAGTTGCTGGAGAAAAGAATTTTAACTCTTTATGACATGTGTGAAGAAAGTTGTGAAAATGTGAGGAATCAATGTGAAAGTACAAATTATGTACTCATTGTATCACTGTGTACTAACAAAAACAGCAAACATGTTCTGTTTCCTTCTTGCAGTGGAAATGGAGACACCTACATGCAGTTTAAGAAAACACACTTTGAACTGACACAATGCTTAAACGCCAACTTCACTGTAGCTTCAATGTACAGTATGGATACACTTTAGGTAGTGCCTTCTAAGATGAAACACTGAACAAGACTATGGTTTTCATAAGACAACTGGATCATGCTTGTCACCTATTCAAATCTCTCTCTTAGTGGACATTTCAATTCTTCGTTTTTGCTTGGAGATGTGCTATTATCACTGGTCAGAATTTTGCAAACTATGTATAAAGATACCTGTATCAGGGTAAATGAGTGCAAATGATTGAGGAATTAACACAAGACAAATGAATTGCATCTTACCAATTAAGCTGTCTGAAAGGCATACTATACTGTCTAAAGGAATGATCTTTTTGCCAGGAAAATCCAACTTGCCAAAATATGTTCTACAAGAACAGAAGTCAGCACATTAAGTTTTTTGCATTCTTGGAATACCAAGTTCAACAAAAGTAATTTAACACCTATTCAGATGCATGTATGCCGTGTAATATTAAAAATGCTAAATGCATAGTGTAATTGCCTTACAGATAAGAATTTGAAGTTAATAGACATAAATGACAAGGCTGATTTAGAAATCACCAACCTGCATTATACTTCATCCCTTATTTAACTGTAATTTCTCTCTTTTGGTTTGTATGTTTTGATTTTACTATATAATTATACCTTAATCTAGCAAACTTGAAAATGTTGAGATATTTCTGTAATGTGGGTGCCCACTTATTTAAGAAACAAGGTCAGTAGTTTATGCTACATAGGTTAGGTCTAGTTAACGACAACCTACAGGGTCTGAAATTAACCATTTCTTAAGGGAGCCAACTGGCGACTAACCTAAAAATTTTGGTCACCAGATGAAAGGCTTTGGTCACCAAAGACAAGTGTTAGTTTTTATTTTGGTTTCTTGCTCGCCACGCCATGATCGTGGCTTTGCCGCTCAATTTGCTGCAAACTAAAGAAAACAATCCCTCTGGAACCCAGGGTATAATTTACCTTAATTTATAGTAAAGCACAAAATTTAACCTTTCAACAAAATGTTCCCATTTAACGCAATATACATAGAGCTATTAAAGGAGAGACTCACAAAAGCTGTGTAACGGTAACAGAGTCCTACATCTTAATGAGCGTGTTTCTCAATGTTCTTGCGAAGGCTTCGGATTTCTTTCTCTTATTATTTCCATTTAGTTGGAACTATGCTGGTATCCTGTTAAGTTCTGTGTATAAGACATATGAGGGCCCTCTTTCTATACCTAGATTCAACTAAGTCTGCAATTAAACTATCTGTTCTGTGCCGAAACGGAATGAAAACACAATGACGATCAATGTGCTAGTGCCAGGCCCTCACACTTTTTTATTGCTCAAACCAGTCCCCCACCTAAGTTGGTGGCCATGATAAAAAATATTGAGATAGAGCAGCAAATCACGAAATGATCACAAAGAGCTGATATTCATCTTTCGCACGTGTAGTACGGGGTAAGACAACGCCACAACTCGTATTTCAGAACTGGAATTTTCTGGTACTTTGGTAAAGTATTAAGAATTTAGCATACCTGTTTCCGTCGATGCTTTTGATCTCATTACGACTCATCACGATTTTGCCACGTCACGTTTTCGCCCACGATATCCATTTTCAGAGGTGTAGCAGCTCTTGTAAGCTTGTTATTCTCTTCAATGTTAGCAGCTGTTATTGTTTTAGAGGCTAGGGGCATTGTTTCTGTTGTTTGTTCTATTGTTCTCTCATTCATGTGAAACCTTACAAGAGCTGCTACATCACCCTCTGTTTTGGGAGAAGCCGCTGAAACAATATGGCACCAGGTAAATATGGTGATCGTAAAATCGTCGCTTCATTTTACTACAATTGTCCTCGGGAGCTTTATGTTTTCTTTTAAAAAAAAGCTCTTTTACCTTGGAATTTCAAATGCTGAGGGGACAAATAAAGGTTAGTCGCATGCTGGCGACCAGTTTTAAAATTCTGGTCGCCGACACTTAATTTTTGGTCGCATTGAACACCAGTCAGTCGCAATTTCAGACCCTGACCTACTAAGTGCAGAGTATTCCAGAATGATGAAACCTACTGAAATGAAACACATCCAGAAAACAAGTCTTTGTTATTGAATAATAAACATTTCACCTTTTGTCTCCTTTTTGACTTTTCCCATCAAAAAGTTTCCACACATAACATCCATCGTCACACCCTCCAACAACCACTTTACCATGTGGCGGGATAGAGAACAGACGCACTATTGAGCGAGACTTCAATGTCAACAGGAGTCTGAAAATGGAAAAAAAAATTGATTATGCCACCCTCTCAATCCAGCACTGAACACCCTTCAGGTAACTATTTAAAAGCGTGGTTAAGTTGCGTAAAAGTTATTATTTTCTTTTAGAAAATAGCCCAAATAAAATACACTCGCTGATTGGTTCAAGATCACATCTCTAAAACTCATAGAAACACAGAACTACTGTAGCACGAGCTGTTGATGAAACGATGGTACGAGCAAAGAGAATTCACATTTTGGAGATCAGAGTAAAGTTGTTTTCTTTTTTTGTTGCAGAATTTTCTAAAAGAAATAGAAAACCTGTTCTCTCTATTTCTATCCAGTTAACACTACAAAAAAGCTGTGGAAGCACTCGCCTGTTGGCTCGTGCTCCCACAGCATTTCACATTCTCCCAAACTTCCACTTGTGTTTCTATAACTTGATAAATACAAGGTACATTGTCTATTTCTTAATTATTCACCTGCAGTTTAATAAACTTACTGTGATTTTCCTTGATACTCAGCTGCTTTAGGCAATCCAATTTCCCAAACCATAATAGTATTATCATCAGCTGCACTCAGTAGCCACGTGGGATGATGAGGGTGAAAAACCAAACATTCTAAAACTCCTTTGTGACCTTGAATTTCCTCAAAACACACTAGCTGATTAGGTTCTATTATCTTAATGTCATTTTGATATCCTCCCGCCGCTATGAGGTTGGCTTTTCTTTTCTTATCAGTGTCATAGTCCAAATATACCGTAGTCCACGCTAGACAGTAGAATGTTTCTCCAGGTTGCTTGTATTTTTTCATGACTCGTCCTGTACTGCAATCAACAAAGCAGACTGAATCTCCACCACATGTCGCACATGTTGTTGTTGTGTGACCTAACCAAAACAAAGAAATCACAAAACCATGTGTAGAACACACAAGGCAAGCAACATGAAAACATGCACAAGTAGTTTCCCACCCATTCAATAATAGCTGATACCCAAGAAGAGAAAAACTTTTCACACCTTTCCTTGACTTTGGCAAATTACAATTTTCTGACTAGATATTAAATTCCCTATCTTTCCTTGGATCTTGAAGAACAAATTTTTCCTGACTTTTTCCAAACATTTGGCAACCATCCAAATTACAGTACAACACTTTTTCATTTGTCAGTTTCTATACTGGATTACTAAATGTGTGACTGTACTGAATTGGTTTTTAATTGGTCACCAGTCTATTTTCCACAAATTGTAACACTGGGGCAGAAGTTACACTCGTTACCTTTTCTTTCAGGGTCTGGTTCAAACTCGCAGCCCCATACTTGTGTTTTCCTGTCTGTGGGATCATTGTTTAGTGAATGTGTTTGCAGCAAATGAGAGACTGCAAACTGACAGTGTGCAGGACTTGCACTGTCACTTTCAGCCTATTAAATAAGGGAACAGACAATCACTTTAATAAATAGCATCATGTTCCATTATTTCATAGTAGGTTACAAAATAATATTCACAGCAAACAACTGCACGTAGCTGGTGTAACAGAATTGTTATAGCAGTTTTCATTAAGCAAAGAAACCAGAACCCACCATGAAAGTAGACAAAAAAAATAATAACTCAAAGTCAAAATGTTACTAAACCAATTTGTTGAGTGGCAGTAACAGATTATGTGTCACTGTCAATTGGTCATGTTATAAGGAACACAAAAAACAGTTGACTACTGTATGGTACACATATATAGCAGCATTAAATTGAACAAGTTCTGTTTGCCATCAGTTACTTTCAGGTCAGTCATAACAAATTATCAATCAACAACAACCAGACACTCCTACAACTATAATATTACTGTATACCTTGACTTCTTTTCTAGGTGTCCTGTCTCTCTTTTTTCCTGGTTTACCTTCTGGTGTTTTTGCACTCTTTGTTTTACCTCCTGCGTCACTTGCAGCTTTGGTTTTGTCCTCTTCCAGTTGTCCATTCACTGCAATATAATAAAACACACATGATGATTTCCAACACAAACTAGTAATCGAAAGTTAGCTTTACATGTACATCAATATGTGGCCCTGAATGGAGTGTAAAGAGGCACAACAAATTAAAGTAAAGTACAGTAAAGTAAAACTTTATTTAAACAGGGTGGCCTGTTCAGCTCAAAGGCTGGTATCCATAGGCACCCTGTATAAATAACAACAACTCAGCATAAGGCTTAAACACAGTTCGTTTGATTTAGATTCTAATGTATGACCCCTAAAATACAAGTAGGTCCTACTGAGTGGTGAGCATACTACAGCATACTAATATGGACACCTCTCTAATATAAGCAGTTTCCTATGTACCCACAAAATTATCATACATTTCTTCTAAAAAAAACCTCTATAATACGGACCCTCTCTAAAACGGACACTAAATCTTGTCCCTAGGGAGCAAATTCATACAAATTAAAAAGAACTCAGTCATGGTTTGTGCATAATGAAAAGTTTAGCCTCAATTTTTCAAATTCATCATTTTTAATCTGTGTCAATCTTCTCCATCCTTAGCCATCCTTGTTCCTTTATGGTTTATCATTGTGTCTTTGGTGTTTTTCCAGTTATTAAACTGTTATTTTCAGGTTTCCTACCATTAAAAGGTAATTTTGTATGTGACCAAAATAACTCCAAATAGCGTGACTGAGCCCCTTTAACCTCTTTATTACGAACACTCCAGGGACCAGGTGTTGATAATTTGCGGTATGTACCATTTCCTGTCAGCAGTTACACAAATATTGACACTTTATCATTCAGTGATACCAATACCAGAACATGTCAAAATGTTAGTTTTCAAAACTTACATTTACAAATGCAAACACTCTAAACTGTCAGTGGAGACTTAAAAGTGATGTCATGATTTGTAGTGACCCCTCCAATACGGACACCTTTCTAATACTGACACTTCACTCTGTCCCTTCAGTGTCCGTATTAGAGAGGTTTGACCATGCAAGTAAAATAACACACTACATGACATGTATAGTGACTGCACCTTCAGTAGTTTTCTGTTTCTTGACAGGTGGTTCTACTGTAGCCTTCTCCTCACTCTTCATATTCTTTAAATAAAGTTCTCCTAAAATTGTAAGCTGATCAAAATTGTTCAGTTAATATTCTTAGTCACATCAGTAGGGCTAAATGAAAAGTTTGCTCAAGAAAACCTATTAGTTGATTATTAAAATACTAATTAATGATCATTTAACTTATTTAAATACCTTAAATTCTCTATAGTTTTTTAGAATGGCAGGACCACAAGTAACTTCTGTCTGAAATAAATAAACATTTAGTTATTTTAAAGCAACACATACATAATAAGGAAATCACTACACAATGAAAAATAAATGGACATACAAACAAACAAACAAACTAACAGAGATGTCCTGACCCAGTGTGCACAAAAGAAGTACCTTTTTGCAATCTACATATACAGACAGGAATGCTTTTCAGCCTACAGCCCACAGAAGAGACCTTGTTAGACGACTTTATCATATGATTCATACCTTGAGTTTTTCAATGAACTCATTTTCAAGTTCAGTTCTTTTATCACCTTCCAACTGATTGTACTTCGTGTTAAATTGCTTCTTCCATATTTCAGTGATCTACAAAAAAAAGAGTTCAAATGGAATTTGTTAAAGATCACTGAGTGCAATAACATTACTTGGGCAGGCTTGATCTTTTCGCTTTGTTTCTTTTAGCACTTTTTTGCAAAATGATATTGTAATGATGGTTTAAATAAGAGACTCAACATTGAACTGTTCATTAAGTCTTATAGACATGTTCACAAACCCTTTGATACATTAGAAACAAATCTATACTTTTTCAACATCTCTGCTGATTACATTTTACTTTAAACTTGCCCGTGTGGATCCAGGATTTCTTTGAAACCGAGATTAACTCAGGCCACAGCATTTAAGAAAAAAGGAATTCTTTCAATCTCTAAACCTGGTACTAGCCATTTAAAGGATGGATTTCCCCTATCCACCTGTTAAATCACTATCAAGAAGATAGTGCAGTTTGTTTGCTCAACACTTTTCCACTGGGTGGTGACTTATCAGGTGAATAGCATAATTTATCCACCCTTTGAACTGGGTCCACTAGTCATTATGTGGCTTTCATTTCCCAACCTTCTGTGACATGGTAGAATCCAATCTATTAACAGCATCCCTCATCAGACTGATATCCTACAAGAGTAAATACAGTTGTATGAAGTTAAAAAAATGACTGCTCCAAAACAGGTCTTTATATAATAGGTGGAGTAAACACTTCAGCTTGTCAATAAACATCGCACAGTGATTTTCGATATCTCCCTTTGAAATATAACCAGCTGCACTTTGCTCTACGTCTGTAGAACCTTGGTCTACAACTTGACCAAGAATTATCAAGTAGTTCAAAACCATGATGTGTTATTGCCTGATAAAATTACAATGGACCAAGGTTCATTCATGAGCATTTATGAGCTGCCTGACGCCTGCTTGGTAATAAAATAATGTACATGAGGTAAAATTTTAATAAGCTCAAAAACACTGACAGGGTAGGCCAGGCAAATTCAAGATTATCTATCTCTAAGAATAAAATATCATGGCTAACCTTTCCATCCAGTATCTTTAACAGGGGACACAGGGACACTAGTTTGTATCTGTCTGAAACCTGTACATAAAAAAAAACAAACAAACCAAGGTTGCAGGTAGTCAAATTGAAAGTCATAATTAGCAGTACTCACAGATCTCTTTATGATCTTCCAGGTGTATATATGAAATGCGAAACCCTTACAGGAAATACTGTTAGTACCAATAACATAAAGAGAGTAATGCTTTTTACATTGTCTTACTCATTGGTAATTTTATTACCAATAAATAATAATACATGCATTTTATGACTGTTTTAAAATCTTTCTCCTCTGGTTTGCTGGTAACTGTGCAGCAATGACCAAATTATGGCACACATTCAGTTTAGCTAATAAAAGCAAACCCTTTGTTGCCAGTTTTATTTTGTACCACAAGTTGATTTAACCTGTTTTGCAGATAACATTTTGTGGTATACATTTTTGAAACCAGTTGTGAGTTTACTCTTTACTATATCCGTTGTCTCATATTCATTACAATAATCTGAAAGAAAACAAGATTAAAGTCAAATCAAAAACCAACATAAACTCAGCAGCTTATTATATATAATATACAAATCATAATGAGGACCCATGTCACACTTGACAAAAACTATTAAAACATCTTGATGTCTGATCAACTCTCATCTTGTTACCTCCAGAGTTGGATTATTGGTCACATCTAGACTTTCAAGATTAGGAAATGCCATTAATCCCTCCACGTTATTAAGCTGGTTGTTGGCAAAACTGAGAACTTTCACTTGTGGTAGGGCTCCATCTTGGACTATAGCCGTTAGCTTGTTTTTTGACAGATCAACTTCCTCAAGATTTGGCAAACGTTGCAGTAACTCAGCTGGTATACAAGTTAAACCAAGTCCTGACAAGCTAAAATTCAGAAAAGGAAAAATAAAAAACAAAATTATTACAAAATATTTAGTTCTTTTATCGTTGATCTACTAAATCGAGAACTAATGTTGTCTTGATTAGACACCTGGCATAAAAATGACACCAACTAGGTGAGTTTGTTACTTAAAGTAGCTCAAAGTTGGGACAACTCTGCACATGAGGCAGGATGTCAAATAGCCTTCCCAACTTTTCTTAATGTAGGAAAAGTTTGGTTTTGTATATGAATCGACAAGAGCTAGAATGGATAGCCATATAAGAGAGTCTATATTAAAGGAGACTGACCAAGAACACTGTTTAAAATAACTAAGATGAGTCGGGGATTAACAAACTGATCTGATCGTTTGAAACAGCAGAAAATCACACAAATAATGGACAGGGGTCATAGAATATAGGTATTACAGATAGACAAAAATAGACACAGCTAAAAGAGCTTTAAAATATTCCTGATGTCTGTTGCAAAGTTTAGGTTTCATTGCATGCATGAATTACAGTAAATGATCATAATGGTCAGAAAATCCTCTTTGTCCATTTAACAGATGAGACTTTTTCTGAGTAGAAAATACTTTCTTTTCAGCCTTGATTACAGGATTCATAATTGTAGCCATTATGCAAGAATGTCCATTTACTACAGACAGTATGCACAGATGTTTACCCGGTCCATATAAGCATATGCACTCTACTGACAGCAGACTGGTTCAAGCAACAATAAGAGCTGTCAAACATCAACAGTGTAAAAAATAGTGCCAGAAAAACAATTAGCATTCTTCACCAAACGAGGCGAAATTCATAAATTCATATTAAATAATCTACAAAAAACACAACGTGGTCATTCAAGTTAATTTATGACATGTCAGCTGACAGTGGTGGAGGTCATCCCAACATCCGGAGTTCAAATTTGGCATTCAGTAACAAGATCACACAAGCACAGAAGAAAACGCCACCAAAATACTTCAGGTTACTTCTCCTGTAAGTTTACAGACACTCGCTTCACCACATCACACCGTTAATATGTACATCGAAACTTAAGCTTTCTAATTAATTTCGCTCAGAGGATAACAATTGTGAACAAACTGTGTGCAGATCTTGCGGTATACTCACTTTAGCTGCCGGATTTCAGACAGTTCTTTCGAGCCAGAGCGCTTCTTGATGTCCTCCAGCGTGATTTTTGGACCACTCGACATCCTCCACGCTGCAGAATCTCGACAAATATCACAAAAGAGACACTAAACACACGATAAGTCACATCCGTCACAGACATTCGAAGACTACCGTAGTAAACAGTATCAAGAACACGTGTGTGATGAGCGCAGATGTCATGCGCAGTACCAGAAGTGGTGCGGTGTTACAATAGCTTTGATTGGACAATCGAGAAATTAACCAATGATAATCTCTGTTAGAAACTTCCGAACTTGAGTAAATTCTAAACATGGCCGCTTCCAAGAAAAATTGTGCGTGTTGTGGCATTCGCAAGTGTTTACTGTGTGAAGATAAAGGCAGGTTAAAGAAAATATCGCAACATACAGTGGAGGAGGAGCACACTAAGGCAATTCAACGGTATAATTTTTGTAACTTTTGTGGCAGAACATTTCCTAAAGGCCAAGAATGCTTGCATCAAAAAGATATTGAAGAGGACAAAATAAGACTGAAAGGTGTTACTGTTATTCCTGATTTTGTAAATGAAGACGAGGAGCAAACGATTGTTACAGAAATTGACAAAACCATTTGGAAAGCATCACAATCTGGAAGACGAAAGCAGGTAAACTAAGATTTTAATGTTCAGTTGTTCCAGATGTACATAACCGACGTAAACTGTCTGATGATCTGCACTTGTGATTCACTACTGTAGTTGAGCAAAGACAGTCATCACCAAACAGCTTCAAGTTAGTGAATGTTCAATAGTAATGACAAAGGGTATTTATTTCTTGCAGGACTTTGGACCGCAGGTGAATTTCAAGAAAAGGAAGCTAAAGGAAAAAAACTTTACTGGGCTTCCACAGTTCAGTAAGGTTTTAGTGGAACGCATGTGGAGTATGGTGCCAACATTGTCAGATTTTCAGCCAGTTGAACTGTGTAATTTAGAGTATGTACCACACAGAGGATCCTCCATTGATCCTCATTTTGATGACTTTTGGGTGTGGGGTGATCGGTTGGTCACGCTAAACCTCCTGTCACAGAGCACTCTGACATTCTCTGATGAAGGATACAATACCGAAGTTTCTGTTCCAATGCCCAGAAGGTCTTTGATCATAGTCAGGGGACCAGCTCGTTATAACTGGAAACATGCTATAAAAAGACAGGATATTGTCTCCAGGAGGATTGCTATAACACTGAGAGAACTCGCACAGGAGTTCTGTGAAGGTGGTGAGAATCACAGTGTTGGAAGCGAATTAATAAAGACAGCATTGTCATTTCAAGGGAAGTCACTTCAAGTCACTATGAAGGATCATGAATGCTAGTGCCATGCTAATGTTTCATTCTATATAATACCATAACCAACAATTATAAGATGTCAAGAATGCCCATTAAATGTGGAAAATAAATCTATTTTAATGCAACTCAGAGGAGAACTTATGTGCAGGTATTTTAAGAAGGCCTCCCTTGACTATAAGCATTCACTGAGTCAAATTCTGCTTTTTGTGTGCTGTCCTCAACATGACATAAAGTTAAGTAAAATGGATCAGTTTGCTTTAAGTGTCATGTCCAATGACAGACTTGCCCTGTCATCCCTCCTCCCNCCCCCCCCCCCACCAACATATTCACCCTTTGTTAAGCAGGTAGGAAGTGAATATGTTGGTGGCTGCTAACATATTTTAATTGAAACTAAAAACGAAATCAATCTCAGGTTGAACACCCCCACTTTTTTCAGTAAATAGATAAATTAGCAAAACAGAAACTAAAGTAATAAACTCCACTCTGATATCCGTGGACGGATTATTGGGTGCTAAGTTCAAATGTACACCTTTGCCTTCTTCTGCAGCCAAATTTAGAATTAATTAATTAATTAACCTTGTTTAACAAGGGTAACACACAACAGTCTTACAACTGACAAAACCCGTGGCCCTCGAATTCCTGATCGAATTGGAATTTAGAAATGTTGATTTTTGTACAGCAGCTGTTTTCCCACAAGGGAAATTTAGCAGAATCCTACTAGAGAAGACAAGAATATCAGCTCTTAGTGATAAACTGATTTTTTTTGGCCTGGAGAAGGTGTGAATTGACGTAAATTTCAGATCATTCTTCAATGCAATTTTACAAAGAACTCAGCCAGTGACAGAATGTTGTAAAGGAGAACAAGTGCACCGAGGAATCAGGACTGGAGGGCAATCACATGCTATTAAGAGACACAAATACGTCTTGAATCCATTGGCTTAATGACTACCGGTAACTTGTCTATCTAGATTTTTCCTTTTTGGTCTAGGGGTTAGGGCCAGGTTTGGGGAAAAAGGTTTAAAAACATCAAAATCTCAAAAAGAAGGCTATTTTTGCTATCGTTGTACAGAAAACTGCTAGATAGTGCATTTTACCTCTTTAGCTGACTGCTTTTCGGCATAAG